CTTTCCGCTCTGTAAAGATTTACAGCCTTGGAAACCCTATACAGGGTTGCCTTGAGTCAGAACTGACTCCACAGCACACCATCACCACCACCACCACCACAACCCTCTCCCCAGAGAATTCCATACTCTGATTGATACCATATGAAAATGGCAGTTTTGGCATCCTTGAGGGACTAAAATCGTTTTCCTTTTCAATGTTCTTTGTGTTTTTGGGAACAGAAAGAATCCGAAGGCTCAAGAACAGGCTGTAGGGTGGATGGGGTAAAGTTTCTCAGTGAAATTCTCGTAGGGCAGCCCTTGCTATCCTCAAAGGATAAAAAGGTGCATTGTGATAGAAAAAATTCCTTGGCACAACTTTCCTGGTCTTTTTCACACCAATGTAGTTTTCTGTTTTCTTCGTACTTCTTCATGTAGCTCCCATGATTGTCTTGTGTCCTTTGAGAAAATCTGTTCCCCCTTTGGGGTCCCACCGACACAAAAACCTTCTGAGCTGATTTCTCTGCATTGAATTTAATTGGTTCAGAAGGTCCTCTTGGAAGTCACTGTTTTGATTGGATCTCGCTCTTTGGATTATATTGGTAAATCCAAGACTGCTGCTTGGTTATGATTTGTTCCATAAAATTATCTTCATTTGCGTCAATCTTATTTAAAGACTGATGGAAAGATCAGCTCTCTGAGATAGGTGATCTTTACACAAACACTTTTATTTATTTATTTATTTTTTCTAAGAATCTTTCTTGAAGGCACCCTGAGACTAAGACAAGTGTGTAACTGAAAGAACTGTCTGCCGCCATCCAGTAACCAGAGAGACATGTTTATAAGCACAGTTTGTTTGGAATAAACCTGTACACGTATGAACTGGAATCCTAGTAGTGGTGCCTTTTGGCTTACCTTTGTATTTTGTTGTTGTTAGGTACCATTGAGTCGGTACTGACTCATAGCAACCGTATGCACAACAGAACGAAACACTGCCCGGTCCTGTACCAACCTCACAATTGTTGCTACTCTTGAGCCCATTGCTGCTGCCACTGTGCCAATCCATCTCATTGGGGTCTTCCTCTTTTTCTCTGACCCTCCATTTTACCAAACATGAGATCCTCTTGAGGACAATTAAATTATATCTTATGTTGGGGTCCTCTAGCTTTAGAAAACCTTGGGAATCTTGAAGAAATTTAAAACGATAGCTGCTAATGTTTCTTGAAAACTTAATTATCTGTCCAGCCATTATTTTAAATGCTTTGCAGTCTTGATTTAATTTATTTCCTCACAGTGTTAAGTTATCGTTAAGTGCTGACGAGTTGGTTCCACTTCCTGCACAACAGAACAAAACTCTGCCCTGTCTTGGACCATCCTCATAGTTGCTCTTATGCAACTTTTTTTTTAAATTGCATTCTTAAAAGTCAGGACTCTTTCCTTCTCTTCTCTGCTTCTCTAGGTTGAATTTATTCCTGGAATTTACATTCTGTCTGTAGAAGTGGGTCTCCATTGGTAGACACAGGTATTTTGCTAATATGTGTTGAGTGGATGAGGGATCATTTACCCCTCATTTTCTGCAGAATGGAATGGGGCCAGATTGGGTGACTGTGGTGTGACTCACCTGTATTAGTATGTATTTAGAGAAGTGTGGAAATGGCTTTTCTCACAAGCTCCAGTTGAGCAAATCTTAGGGACGGAGTGAGGGACTCCAGCAAACTCAATGCAGTTGCTATTAATAGGGTGTTTTGGATTGGCAGCCTCCACAAGAACAAGGAGCTCTTTACAGAACAAAAGGTCCAGAGGTGCTATTCTAGACAAACAAAATTCCATTTTATAGATATGGAAATAGAGGGACTCAAAAAGGTAAACAAATTGATCAAGGTCACAGATAGGAACTGGTAAGGCCCAGATTCAAACCTGATTTTAATGGTCTCATCAGGCTTATCTTCTTTCCACTTAACCACCATATCACATCAATAAAAGGTCAGAAAGTGAAGGTTGGAAGTAGAGTAGGATAGGCTGACAAGATGATGGTCTTCCTTCAGAAAATGCTTGATCACTTGAAACTTCTTCAGTGTTGTATTAGTGATGGTCACAGATGCTGAACTTTTATATAGTCCCAAGAGCCTCTTACTACTTCTACTGTTTCCACAGAAACAATAAAAGGGAAATAGGTGGTTTCCCTCTTTTCCATTATTTTGGAAAGACCAATGAGAAATATATGAAGCAGTTTTGAAGATTCTGAAGCATTTAAATCACAGTTTTATTTTTTGTTGTTGTTGTATAGTTTTTCTATTATTTAAAAATACATAAGAATAAAAACAACTGCCCTTGAAAGCCACTAAATATGATTAGATCATACATGTTTATGAACATACCTTGACTAAATGGTTGACTTTTTTTTTTCTTTAGGGTACAAATAAGCATGAAAGACGTTTTAGTAAGAAGTAATTTGTCATGAGCCAGTTGTTCAGTCTTCTTTGAAGAAGAAAGGCATGTAAAGGTCAGTATTATGATTATAGTGGACTCACTGCAAAAGAAGGAATACTTTAGTACCTGGTGCTGGAAAGATACTTTCAAATGTTGCCAGATACAGAATGTCATCAGTTATGTCTTCAGGAATGTATTTTTATAGCATGTGCTTTGTAGGACAGAGCTTGAGCCTTACCTTCTGTAGCATGTGAAAGAAATTAGTCTGTGTTTTAGTATACCAAATGTATTAGCATGTACTAGCTGGAAAAGTTTGGTTTCGACTCTTGAAAAATCAACTTTCCTGAGTCCACATGTGTTACACATTGCAGATATTAATTCTTTTAATATGATAAAAATGAATCATGGAAAGAATAGAAATTAATTATAGGGATTTGTAAATGAGCCAGAGGAAAGAAGATTGATGCCAAGACACTTGGAGATCTCCAAGGAATGTTGGGCCTACAGATGCTGAAAGGAGACAAGGATCTTTCTCCAGGCTTTCCCCTAGAGCCAGCACTCTGAATTTGGACTTCAAGCTTCCTGAACTGTGAGAGTGTGGGAGAAAAATGAGGCTTTCTGCTTCCACAAAGATTTACAGCCTTGGAAACTATACTGGGTCGCTATGAGTCGGAACTGACTTGACAGCACTTAATCTCAGCAGCGTAAATGAGCCTAATTAGTTAAAATTGTCAGTGCATTGTGGGCATGTTATTATTATTATTTTTTTAAGGCAACAGTTAATTTTTAGCTGCCTTTGAAAACATTGATAATTTGAACGACTCAGTGATTGTCAGACTTTTTTCTCCCCCACTTCACTAAGGATTTCTATATAGTAAGAGAGACTCACTGTGAGGGTGGGGAGAATATTGGTGCTGGTGGCCCCCAGAGGGCAGAATATAGTTTGAAAAAGCTTCCCGCCAACATTAATTGCCTGGTAATGGGTACTATGGAAAATGCCTAGTTGATAAAACAAAACAACTGTGTTTTTATAATCACTCTTACTATAGCATTGTTTCTATTCTTATGTTTTTGCTCCTCTAGTTTAAACAGGCAAAGCTAAGTAATGTTGGATTTTTTTAAAAGTTGCCTCACTTATTGCCTAATTGTATCTCAACCTAAAAACTTTTAAAAGCAGAGCTAATTATTAAACATACTATTTTACTCTTAATAGATTTTTAGTTTTCTAGAAATGACAATTTTTCAAGAAAATCACTGTTTTGGGTATAATACAGTGTTGCACTGTAGGTAGTAAGGAGCTGTGGTAGTGTAGTGGAACGAGTCAGGCTGAGAACCTCAAGGTCAGCAGTTCAAAACTACCAGGCATTCCATGGGGGAAAGATGAGGTGGTCTGCTTCCGTAAAATTTACAGCCTCAGAAACCCTATATAGGGCCGCTATGAGTCGGAACCAACTCCACAGCACACTACCACCATCACCACTATAAGTGGTTGTAGTGTGCTATCTAGATGGTTCCAATTCACAGCAACCCTGAATAGAGTTTCTGAGGCTGTAAATCTTTATAGGAGCTAAAAGCCTCATCTTTCTTCCATAGAGTGGCTGGTGGATTCAAACTGCTGACCACCAGAGCTCCTAAAAGAGTTGTGAAATATACAAAAACTTATGTACATTTAAGTTTTTCTATAGCATTTAAGTCCCTTCCTCCCCCCAAAGTGTTCATATTTCTCTATAACTAGCTTTCTTTCTAGAAATCTCTGGTAGACTGTGGAATTATTTTTAAATTCTGGGCTCATTGTTGCTTCCCTTGGTAGATCCAAATCCTTAGATTTTTCTAGTTTGTATTAAATGACTAAGACCCTCTGGTGGTACAGTGGTTTCAGCATTGGGCTGTTAATCGAAAGACTGGCAGTTGGAACTCACCAGTTACTCCATGGGAGAAAGATGAGACTGTCTGCTTCTGTGAAGATTTACAGTTTCAGAAACCTTAAGGAACAGTTCTTCTCTGCCCTATAGGGTTGCTGGGAGTTGGAATCAACTTGACAGCAGTGGTTGTTTTGTTTTTAAATTAAATAAACAGGTATCTGTTCTGAGCCATATGTGTCTACTTGAAGCTCCCTGAGAGATCTCAGGCCTTGTGTGTATGCCAAAGACAAGGTCAGTCCATATGCGTATCTCCAAGGAAATGGGAGAGTTACCCTGAAGTTTGGGAATAACAGGCAGGGGTTAATTACAGCTTTTTGCACCATTGTACCATCATACTTCAAGGTTATAAGTCTAGTTAGTACCAGGTTTAGTGATATGACAAAGTTTTATGACTTTGTGTAGTGAGCCACTTCCTAGAAGCTCTTTGTGTGCCCATAGAAACCCTCTCATCCTCTCTTTGCTTATAATCAGACTATTGAATGATTAGAGGGGTCTGACCAAGTAAATCTATGGGATGTGTAGTTGACAAGGAGGAAATCGAAATAATGCTTACTTGGGTTTTTTTCTTGTTTCTTTTTAAGAGATCATCATTCAGGTTATTGTGATTTAAAGCCAACCAAACAAGACAGAAAAACAAATTGAATTGACTGAATACAATTATTAGAAGTAAATATGGAAAATGAACCAGACCATGAAACTATGGAACAAAGCTTTGGTGCCAAGACTACTGAAGAAGAGCTGAATAAGTCTTTCAGCCTAGAAGCTTCACTTTCAAAATTCTCCTACATAGATTTGGACAAGGAATTGGAGTTCAAAAATGACATGGTAAAAATCTCAACTTTTTTCTAGTGATGATATTTAACCAAAGTAATATTGAAAGTGCATTAAGCTGTCAAAAGAACCAACAGATCTGTGTTGGAAGAAGTGCAGCCAGAGTTCTCCTTGGAGGCCAGGATGGCCAAACTTTGTCTCTCACACTTTGGACATATTGTCAGAAGGGACCAGTCGCTGGAGAAGGACGTCATGTTTGGTAAGGTGGAGGGTCAGAGAAAAGGAGGAAGACCCCCAGGAAGATGGAAAGGCAAAGTGGCAGCATCAGTGGGCTCAAGCATGACAACAATTATGAGGTTAGCCCAGGATCGGGCAGTGTTTTGTTCTGCTGTGCATAATAGGATCACTATGAGTTGGTATCAACTAAGTGGCACCTAACAACAACTGGTTGGACTGTTATCATTTTTGCATGAATTAATAAGAGTTTATGTACAGTTTTATGAGATAAACTTAATGCATTTCAATGGTTCATTGCAGTTCATGAAGTGCTTTGATACATGTTCTTATGTGAATTTCACAGCTCTCACACCACAGTGTGTTTTACAGATGAGGAAACTTAAAATCAGCAATGGTAAATACTTCTCAAGGTATAGAGCTTGTGATAGGTGTAGAATTCATATGTTGCACATCAAGGGGGAAAGAATTCATATCAATAGGTTTTTGTTACTGTGAGCATATTTAATGACAAGTTGCTTGTCTTAACCATCTCTCATCATAATTTATGAAATAACTAAGAAATGCAGTCTCAGACCCTTTTCATATTTTTTATGATATATATCTAAACAGAAAATTAGGGGTCATCATAAGACATGCTGTTTTGTCATGTTTAAGAAAGCAAATGCAGAAGTCTTTCAACAGCAGCTTTCTGGAAAGGGTTTTCAGGATGGTCCAATCAGTTTATATTTGCCCTTGATAGTCACTGAATGTATGGACAGAAAAGGAAACATCTGTCGTCTTTTAGCCTAACCTTATTACCATGGATTATGATCAGATAGATTGGTGGTATGTTTGTCTCTGAGTTGATACTGTTTTTAATTACTGAAAGCACTCTTAGTTATAAGGAGGAAAGCATCATGATACGAGTGTTAATTTCCTTTCTGTCTTACAGATTGATGACAAGGAGTTTGATATTCCTCAAGTTGATACTCCTCCAACACTGGAAAGCATATTAAATGAGGTAGGTGTATATTAGTAATCACTCATTTTGTAGCATTGATTTTAGTATTTATGAGCTAGGTTGGTGGTTCAAACCCACCAGCCACTCCTTGGAAATCTTGTACAGATTCGCTATGAGTCGAAACCGACTCAGTGGCACTTAATAACAATAGCATATGTAATCTAGATCTTCACTGTCTAATATGGGATCCACTTGTCATGTGGCTACTTAAATTCATTAAAATAAAATCAAAATTAAAACTTTAATCCCTTAGCCACACAGGGCAAATTCCAACCTGTGACTAGTAACTGCAACAGTGGACAGCCTAGAAAGAGAATATGTCCATCACTGCAGAATGGCCTGTTGGACAGCACTCTTCTAGATTGCTGACTAGTGGATATTTGTCCATCAGCTCTGAACTGGGCAGCAGTTCAAACCCACCAGCTGCTCTTGGAAACCCTATACAGGGTTGATCTGAGTTGAAATCGATTTGACGGCACGCAATAAAAACAAGAGTGTTAGTTTCCAGTACAATGCTTGGTGCATAGTAGATTAAAAAAAATACTTTACTAAATGAATGAAAATATTAACTTATGTTACTTTTGAGGTTTGTATTCTATGTTGGTAATGATTAGTTGATCTGCATCAGTCCTCTGATAGTTATGGTGACCATTATCACCCTTTTCTATGAAGCAAGCAAAGCTTCCATAGATTCTCTTATGAGTACCACCTCTACTGAACAGTGTTTCAGAGTTCTGAAATGGTGGTGACTGTCTGAATTGGCTGGTCATAGTAGTGGTGGGTAAAGTATGGCACTTTTATTTATGAACCTTAATCTGCAGACAACTCTTCAATCCAGTCATTTTGATCTTTTAAAAACTTGCTTAAGATTCAGGCATTAGCTTTTAATTTAAGAAAGACTTTTCTATGTGTAAATCTATTTCAGATCAATAGTTATCTTTTCTAAATGACTAGAATGCAGAGTTTCCCAAGCAGAAATGCTCACTGATACGCTCTCTCTTAAATAAGTTGGGTGTCTATGTTACTTCTTTACCTACACTTCTGGGTCTGTAGCCAGCACTCTCTAGGATGCAAACTACTTTTCTCTGTGAGTTGTGTCTTTTATGACTTTGATCTCTGTTTTTCTACCAGTTTGATGTTGCTGTTACTTTGAATGTGTTACTATTTTTAACTTCAAAATGTTCTATGTGCTTTATGTTAAGATTTAGGCATTTTTAGTTTTGACAAAAAAAGACTTTGGTCCACATTATGGATTGAATTATGTCTTCCAAAAAATATGTGTTCTAAATTCTAACTTCATGCCTTTGGTAAGAAGCTCTGGTGTCACTGAGTCAGGCATTGATTTGCTAACCATAAGCTTGGTGGTTCAAACCCACCAGCTACTCCACAGGGGAAAGATGAGGTTGTTTGCCCCCATAAAGATTTACAGATTTACAGGCTTGGAAACCCTATACAGAATCAACTAGATGGCAGTAGGTTTGCTTTTTTGGTTTATGGCGATGTGTGGGATGCCTGTGATTATAATCCCATTTGGGAGTGGGTTTCCTTTGTTATGTTAATGAGGCAGGGTTAATGTAGGGTGTGCTTGGAGTTTCTTTTGAGATAGAAAGGAGATTAAACAAGTGAAAGGAGGGCAGATATGGGGTAAGATAGATGTGAATACATAAGCGATCTCTAAGGAGTATTGGTGTGGTGCTGTGGGTTAATGCACTGGACTGTAAAGTGAGTTTGAACCATAAAGTTGGCAGTTCAAGCTCACCAGCTGCTCCTTAGACACCCTATACAGGGTCACTATGGATTGGAACCAATTCAGCAGCACTTAACAACAAGAAGGAACCAGTTAGCAGAAACTGAAGAGAAAGGATCTTCCTCCATAGCTGACAGAGAAAGCCTTCCCCTAGAGCCAGCACTCTTAATTTGAACTTTCAGCCTCCTAAACAGAAAGTCAATGTCTGATCTTTAGAGCCATCCACTTGTATTTCTGTTATAGCCACACAATGTAGCTAAGATAGTCCATGAAAGAATATCTGTGACAGTACAGTGTCCTTTATATTTTGCTTTCTAATACAGAGGAACTCTTTCATGTGTCCTACTCTGGTAAGACGATTGTCATAGTAATCACAGTAATTCTCAAGTCCTTGTTTGTACATGGTTACATATTGCTAAAGAAAATAATGCTCATAGGAGTGAGACTCTGACTCATAATGGGGGTTCTGGTGTTGCACTGTAGGATAAGCACAGGTTGGTGGTTCAAATCTACCACCTGCTTCTTGAAAACCCTATACAAGGTCACTGTGAGTTGGAATTGACTAGATGGCACTTAACAATAACAGCAACATAGCTCATAATGAAGGAAAATTGTCCTTGCCCACTATTACTTATCTACAAGTAATAGTACTCACTGTCATCACGTGGATTCTGACTAATAACAACCCTGTAACATACGGTGAGAGTTCTAGTGTGTCACTGTAGGATAAGAACTGGACCACAAGGTCATTTGAAGCACAAGGTCAGTGGTTCAAATTCATCAGAGGCTCCTTGGAAACCCTATACAGGGTTGCCATGAGTCAGAATCAACATGACAGCACTCAACAACAGTGATAAGCAGATAGTAGAACTGCCCCATAGGGTTTCTAAGGCTGTATGTCTTTATGGAAGTAGACTGCCACATCCGTATCCTGGTTAACTCACTGTGCTACCAAGGCTCCTTTTGGGTGCCTAGTGCATTTGGAGTCCTGGTGTAGCGTTGTAGGATAAACACTGCTGACTGCAAGGTCGACGGTTCAAACCTACTAGCTGTTCCTTGGAAACCTTATACAGGGTCACCATGAATTGGATCCGACTCTACAACAATTAATAACAAGAACAGTACTTTTGGGAGTGATGTTAGGTGTTGGGATTATAAAAGCTATGTTACTGTCTTTTTCCTTGATAAAGAAATGGACTTGAAAATTGGCCAGGTTTCATACCTACAGGGTGCTAGTCAGGTGTATACGTGAAAGAAAAACACAAATAATTGTAGAATGTTAGGAATAGACTATAAAAAATGAGTTTAAGAAGTGAAAGTCGAAAAAAATCCAAAGTAGAAAGTGTCATTAAGCATTTGCTTCGGGATACGTGGATGCATTTGTTTCTATAATACCCATTAATGCCAACTGTAAGGGAGACTGGGAAGAAATAGACATTCAAGATATTTTAAAGGATGGAAAGTTAGAGATTATTGAAACATCCTAGGCCTCAGAATTTAGGGTACAAATACTTTGCCATTGTTTGAAATTGTGCGGCCTGCTTTCTAACCTACTCCCTTTCCTTTAAGCCTATTCTCTGACTTCTTGATTTTTTTCCTAGTCTCTCAGTCTTTTTGAGAGTAGAGCTGGCTTTATTCCAATCCTATTATTGGATCTGGCAGCCAGAAATTTCATTCAATTTGTTATTAAAGTAGAACATACATACAAATGTGCATAAATTTAAAAGTAGTTTTGTTAAGTGCCATCAAGTTAGTTCTGACTCACATTGACCCTGTATAAGGGTTTCCAAGGAGTGGCTGGTGAGTTTAAACTGCCAACCTTGTGGTTCAAACCTACTTTGCCATCCAGTGCTTTATCCTATAGCACCATTCTAGGACTCCAATTATAAGTGTACATCTTGGTAAATTTTCACAACCTGAACACTGTGTAATCAACAACCAGATGAAACAGAACACTAGTGGTTGGCTGGTGTCTGTGTGTCATGGAGTTGGTTCTGATTCATAGTGACCCTGTAAAAGATTTCTGAGACTGTAAATCTTTACAGGAGCAGAAAGCCTCATCTTTCTCCTGTGGAGTGGCTGGTAGATTCAAACTGTTGACCTTGAGGTTAGCAGCCCAGCTCAGTCTCCTGTGCTACAGGGCTTCAGGACATTAGTCGTACCCTCAAAAGCTCCTCTGGTGCCCTCTTCAATACCCAATGCTAGGGTAATCCCTGTGCTAACTGGTTAGTTTGCCTGTTTTGAGCTTTATATAATTGACTTAAGCAGTATGTATTTTTTTGCATCTGTCTTTTGTTGTATTTGTATAATTTACAATTTCTGGCCACTGAAAAGTACTACTGTGAATATTCTTGTTTGTGCCCTTTGTTGTGTAAATATGTGTACACACACACACACACATACACATATTTCTGTTGGTTATATTTCTAGGAGAACAGTTGCTATGTCATCAGACATAGCTCATTCAGCTGTAGTAGATACAGTATTACCACGGTTTTTCAAATTGGTTTTATCAATGTATGCTTCCAACAGCAGTGTATGAGAGTTCTGGCTACCATATCCTTGCCAACTTTTGATATATTCTGCTTTTTTTTACTTTAGCCAATTATTCTTATGGTTTTATGAATTTGGACACCATGATATATGTGTTGGCTCTTTGGATATCTTTTTTGTGAATTGCCTTTTCAATTTTTGCCCTTTTTATTTGTCTTTTAAATAAAACTTATTTCAAGAAGTTTGTTTTATGCATATATACCGGATACAAGCTCTTCATTATATATATGATGGTGCAGTGCAAATGTCTTCATCCATTCTTGGGGTACCTTTTCACACTAGTAGTGGCTTCTTTTGATGAACACATATTCTGAATGCTAATATGTTGTTGTTGTTAAGTGCTGTGGAGTCAACTCTGACTCATAACAACCCTGTTAAGGTTTCCAAGGAGCAGCTGGTGAGTTTGAATCGAAGATCTTGTGGTGTGTATCCAGTATAGCACCATACTTTTCCTTATGGTTAGTGTGTTTTGGGTCCTGTTTGGGAAAACACACCTATTTCAAGGTCCTGATGGGGTGTCAACTTTGTATAAATCAAATGATCACATATTGTGGGTCTGATTAATTTGTCTGCTTTTCAGTGCCTTACCCAGTATCACGTTCTCCTAATGAATGAAATTTAACAGCAGGTCTTGATAATTAGTAGTGTCTATTTTCCAGTTTCACTGTTGTGCTTGGCTAATTCTTTGTGCTTTGCATTTTCTGTCTATCATTATATCGGTTAACATAGGTGTGCATAAACATGAACCAGCTAAGAATTGATAGGATTGTGTAGACTTTACATAGTAGAATGGGATTGTCAGGTGGCATTTGTTTTCTTCTAAGGAGTCCAGGTGTAGCAATGTAGGCTAAGCACTTGACCATAGGTTGATTTATACTGCAAGGTTGGTGGTTCAGACTCACCAGTTGCTCCTCGGAAACCCTATACATGGTTGCTATGAGTCAGAACCAACTTAACAACAAGTAGCCATTGGCTATTTGTTAAGTAGTAACACATCTGGATTTAAAAAATATTTTGTACAGCTAACAATTATCTGCATAACGGCTCCTGCTTCTTCTTGCTATAAGAAAGAAATTCTTGGAGGAAATTCTTTGTGGTGTGTGATAGCTATCTAGGGTTAACATTTAATTCTAGTAATCCTGTACTACATCTGTCTGGTCAGTAAGACGGCATGGAGTAAAAGTGAAAAATAGCAATAAGCACGTGAGTGTTCGGAGAACACTTTTAATGCCTCTGACTTTTCTCATAGAGTATTTTGAACTTATTGACCCATGTTCTTCCAATTTAGACTGATGATGAAGAGGAGTCTTTTGTTCTCGAGGACCCTACTTTGTTAAACATTGATACTGTTGACTCTCACTCTTACGATACTTCCTCTGTGGCAAGCTCAGACAGTGGTGACAGGACAAACCTAAAAAGGTAAGTGATCATTAAAATCACGGTCCCATAGAGTTGAGTGATGTGACCATTTAATATGTAAATATCTCTTAGTAGTATTATGTGGTCTGTTGGAGCCCTAAACGGCAAGTACAAAGCCCACTTGGGTGGAGATAGTATGATTATTAGACCCTAAAGAGTTTGGCACTGTTGAGGGAGAGGATTAGAAGGTGAGTGTCCTGACCACCGTCGTCAGCACCCCTGGTATAAAGCTGTAATTATAGCCCAGGGATGCCGGGAGACAGTGGAGCCCTTGCAGGGCAAACACACAGCAGTCTGCAGTGTCTGCGGTGGGAACAGGGCTTACCTCATCCTTTCTGTTCCGGCACCCCCGCCCCTCCCCCACCCACTCCAGGATCAGCTCCAGCATGCCCTCATTCCCTTGGAGTGGGTTCAGAGGAGAGTCACAAAGATGATTAAAGATTCAGGAAAAGGACTTCTAACCCTAAATAACTCCATTTTGGCTGCCTTTCACCTTCTAAATTCTTTGAGAGAACATGAAAAGGAAAGAGAAGTGGAGGAAGCATAATGTAAATTCTTTATTGAATTCATGTGTGACGTTAATGTTGATAAAGTTGTCTGCATGTTTCCCCCCTTCTTTTAAAATTTTGCCAGTATCAGTGCTGTCTTCTTTGGGTTGTTTGCTCTTGTGGGATAGGGGACATTGGTGTATATGTTAACCTATGCATCACTGTGTTCTACAGGTAGATAACTTATTTAGCTATCATGGTCACTCCCAGACTCAAAGATGTCAGTTTCTTCTTGTAACCTACACAGTAAAAGCAATAAATGGCATCAGTCAGGACCCTACTTGCCATTTTGATCTCATTTCTAAGCACTTCCACACCATTCCACCCAGTCGATACCTTTTGTGTATTGACTGTTTCCTGGACACACCGTGTACCTTCATTTCTTCCTGTTTCTGTTCAGATTTTTTTGTTGCCTATCTGGTAAAGAATCCTCTCTTTTCTATAGTTGTCCCTGCTCTTCATTTATATTTCTACAGTCCTTTGTTCATACTTGTGGTCTAACATTTATTCTTCAAGTTACTTGTCAGTTCCCATGACTTCCTTATCTTTTTACTTTAATCTGGAGTGCAGGGTGGTAGTTGTTAAGTGCTGTCTGAGTCAGTTCCGACTCTTAGTGACCCTTTATAGGGTTTCTAAGGAGTAGCCAGCAAATTTGAACCACCGACATTTCAGTTCTAATTGACCTTGAGGCTGAGTGCTTATCCTATGGTGCCACATCAGGATACAGAGTAGGTACTCAGGAATGTTAGGTAAAAGTGTAAAAAATATTTTTTGAGCAATAGTAAGTGGGGTAAGTGAAAGGAGCTTGTAGTTGGGACAGCAGAGGGGAGTTTTAGAAGGTGGTTGGTTAGAGACGGGATGAGCACAGAAATGTGAGGAAGGACAAGGCAAGCGCAGGAAGGAGGGTAGGGGTAATGCAGACATGTAGAGCGGGAAGGCAACATTCTGGGGAATACTAGAACTATTGTATTTCTTGAAGTGGAAAAGAGCCATTTCAATCAGTGGAAAAGGAATGGTGCTTTCATTCATTTTCCTGCTTTTGCTTCTCTTGGGTTCACCGTGGGTTTAGTACAACATCTGAGTGTGGGACTTTTAAACTCTTGGTGCCTCTTTTCAAAACAGAGCTAACCAATTACATACAATATTGTTTTCTGCTTTTCTTATTCCTTTCTTTCAAAGTATTGGGGTTCTGCCTTTTCAAGTGTTTTTTTTTTCTGTGTGTGTCTGTTCTTAAATGCTTTCTTTTTTTTCCCCTTTTTAGGAAGAAGAAATTACCTGATAATTTTTCACTCCATGGATCAGTTATGCGACATTCTCTTCTGAAGGGAATTTCTGCCCAGATAGTGTCTGCAGCTGTGAGTGTTTTGTTCTCTTCCCCAGCTTTATAACCTGTAATGGCATAATGAAGTAGGAATCAGCATAAAACAAAGCACAGCACTCCTCTTGGCCCGAGGCTTAAGAAAAGTAGAATCTGGCTTTCATGGTTTTCATGTGATTATTTTGAACTCGTAAGACATGGCTACACATTTTGACATAGAAATTAATGCAGCCATGAAACTAAAGGTCTGCTCAGAGTCTCAGGTGCGCTTAAATGAAATGTGGCAGCAAGCCGAAGAGAAACACTATCTGCCTGTCCTTTAAATTCCTTTTTCAGTTTAGTTGCCATCTTGTGTATTTGGTTGAAGTAGAGTGCTTGGTTCTTTTTCCTCTTTAGTCTTTTCATACGGAGAAGTAATTGATCAGAATCTTTTACAGCTGAGTGATTTTTATAATTCACCAAAGTCTTTTCATGTGCTTTATTTTAATGCCTCTTACAACTTTGAAAATAGTTAGAGCCATATCCAGAAAGGTGATACTAACTTGTCTTACATCACTTAGTTTAAAGGTAGCAAATTAGGCTTTCTGGTTCCAAATCTGATGCTGCTTTGTTGTGAAATGACAGGCATTGGTGAATGTTGCCAATCTATATAATTGTTGGAAGAGAGTATTTGTGGCCTTTATTGAAAATGAGAACACTGGGTTAATGCAAAAAAATAGCTCATCAAGGCAGTAGACATTGATTCTGGTATGTTTGCATCAAACTTTTCCTTTGCCTTCAAAGCCCATAGTTAAAAAAAAATATGTGTATTTTATTTTATCTTGGGTGAAAGTTTACATACCAAATTAGTTTCCTTTTGAACAGTTTTATACATTTTGTTGACATGGGTTACAATTTTTGCAGTGTGCCAGCATTCTCATTATTTCCATGGCGTTTGTTCTATTTCATTTTCTGTAGTCTTCCAATTTTACTTTTCTGAATGCAGTGTATAGGCTATATATATATATTTATATA